GGGAATCCACTCCGTTCCCAAGCCCGGCCGCTCCAGGTATCTGGTTTCGAGGAGCCCCCGCGCCGCCTTCCCCCGCAGCCCACGTTTGAAACTGAACCCCACTCGCCTCCCCGATGAGGAATTGTTTGCAGCGGGTTAAAAGGCTGTAGAAACGTGAGCGCTTTGTAAGGACCAGACGCTTTTGTACACGCAGGCAAATCTCCACCGGCTGCTCTAGAGCAACTGGAAGGAAGCGTGGGGGAGGGTCTGCACCCAGCGCAGAAAATAAATTGAAGGGAAAGGAAGAGGGACAGGACCCTAAGTGGTGACTTCGGTTTGGGGGACGCCAGCCTTCACCCAGCCTGTGTCCAGCCCCTTTGGTTGTGAGAATCATTGCCACGAGGCGTCTCTATTTCCCGGGTGTTTTTCTTCTGTGCAAACGGGTGGCACACTTTTAACGATTCTTAGGAGTATCCGGGGCCGTTCGTTTTGTCTTCTCTTGTCCCTGTGCGCCCTTCCGTGCGCACAGAGTCTCCGCGCGCTCTCCTCTGCCTGTGCCCGATCCCCGCGTCAGCGCCTCGAACGAGTGGCTCAGACTGCTTTGTCTTTTTCAAACGCGACAGGCGGACGCACAGAAGTAAGCCTGGTGCTTCCACGGCCCTCCGATTTCCTTCCCGCCGGGGATTCCGTCGACGTGCCGGCCGCGCGGGAGGGGACGCGCGTTGTCTTCCCCGGGCGAGAACAGATGACCTGAGCCCAGATCAGATACACCTGCTGCTGTCTTTGTTCCGCTTCTCCGTCCTGCCCCGTCACGGCCGCCTGTGCGGCCCACCCCGACCGAGCGCTTTCCCTCTGTCACGCGTTTCCCTGCCGGAGACCGTCTCCGCAGGAAGGCCGCGCACTGTCATCCCCGCTTTAGAGACAGAAATGGGGATGGCGCTTCCCAGAGGTCATCCAGGTAGAGAGTGGCCACGGGGGTCGAGGAGGGTGGAGGCGCATCCAGAAAACTGGCTTTTTTTCTTGTTGAGATGAAACTCACATCACATAAAATGAACCGTTTTATTTTTTTTGAAGTTTATTTTTGAGAGAGAGAGGGAGACACAGAATCCGAAGCAGGCTCCAGGCTCCGAGCTGTCAGCACAGAGCCCGACGCGGGGCTCGAACTCACGAACCGTGAGATCGTGACCTGAGCCGAAGCCCGACGCTCAGCCGAATGGGCCACCCAGGCGCCCCCCAAAATGAACCGTTTTAAAGTGAACAACTTGGGGGGGTGCCTGGGTGACTCAGTCGGTTGAGCGTCCGACTTTGGCTCCGGTCACCATCTCACGGTTTGTGGGTTCGAGCCCCACGTTGGGCTCTCTGCTCTCAGCACGGAGCCTGCTTCAGACCCTCTGTCCCCGTCTCTCTCTGCCCCTCTCCCCACTCGTTTTCTGTCTCTCTCTCAAAATGAAATACACTTTAAAAAGTAAAATAAAATAAAGAAAAGTAATAATAAAGCGAACAACTCTGTGGCACTTGGTGCATTCGCAACGTTGTGCAGCCTGCTGTCTCCGTCAAGATGGGAAATATCTTCAGCCCCCTGAAAGGAAACTCTGTACCCACCAGCGGCCTCTCCCACTTCCCCCCAGCCCCCGACCCCCCGTGCCTGCTTCCTGTCTATGGACTTGCCTCTTCTGGGCATCTCTTGGAAACGGAATCCTACAACAGGGGACCTTGGTGGCTGCTCTCCCTCGGCATCATGTCCCGGAGGTTCATCCGGTCGGTGGCTGGTGTCAATTCTTTGCTCGTTTAAGGCTGAATCGAACTTCCGTGGAATGGAGAGGCCACGTTGTGATTATCCGTCCTTCTGTTGCCGGACGTTTGGGTCGTCTGTGCCTTTGTGCTCTCGTGAGCAGCACTACCGTGAACACCAATGTTCACGGGTTGTTCGCGGGTTTTTGTGGGGGTCTCTGTTGTAAGTGTCTCGGGTCTGTCCCCAGCAGCGGGCGTTGCCAGGTCCTTTAACCTCTGTGTGTAAGTCGTGCGTCTCAAGTCCCCCGCCTTACGGATTTCCTGTACGATGGCCGCCCCCCATGCTCTCTCGGTGTTCTCCCGCCGGGGCTGACCGTGCGGTGGCTGTCGTCACGTGCGTTAAGCAGACTGGCGGGCTGTTAGGTTGCTGTCCCTCGTGCTGCGTGTTCTGGGGCAGCCTCAGGAGGGGCGGGATGGTGGGCTTCTCCCGGGCACTTCACTGTGTCTCCCCTGCTGGCCCTTTCAGTTCTTAATCTGAGAATGTGGGGTTCTGTGGCCGAAAGGGCCTTCGCTTCCAACCTGACGGCCCCTGGGTCCGGGAGCAGGAATCGAGAAGCAGGTGTTGGACGATGTTTATCGGAAACTGTCTGTTCTCCTAGAAGTCGCACTTGCTGCTTTGATGAAGTAACACCAGGTTTTGAAATCTCTCTTTTTTTTTTTTAAGCTGATTTATTTATTTTGAGAGAGAGAGAGAGAGAGAGAACAAGAAGGGAGGGGCAGAGAGAGAGGGAGACACACGATCCCAAGCAGACTCCATGCTCAGCACAGACCCCAACGTGGGGCTTGATCCCATAAACCGTGAGATCATGATCCGAGCTGAGATCACGAGTCGGACGCTCAACCGACTGAGCCCCCCCAGGCGCCCCTGAAGCCCGTCGTAAGGGTGGGCTGCTCTAAATACCAAGGTTGATTTTTGCAGGAGGTAGAGGGGGGAGTCTTTGCCTTGTTTTCCCGCCCATCCTGCGTGGATCCTGGAGCTCTGAGCCGGTTTGCGGTTTTGCAAACAGGAGCTCTGCCTCATTAGAGCTTTGCAAGTGTAGATGCCATTTTCGTCTCCAGAGAAGTCTCCCGCCCATCCCCCCAAAATGCAGATTATACGTTAAAGATAACTCAGGGCCACACAGCCTGGGGATGGTTCTTCCCCAGGGATGGCAGCTAACACTTAGGCGTCCTATAATAGGCACTTGTGCCTGTTTTCCAAAGCGGGGCTGCTGTAACTGAGCGAGCAAGCAGATTATTTTTTATACTCATCTGACTTGAATAACCAAAAGCGAAATCTTTAAGGATAGAGCTTATCAGGTCTCATGATCATCAACTGGTGTAAAAGAAACTGAAGAAGCTTATCCAGGAACTAGGATACCGGGTGGCATTAGATTTACCGAAGAAGGCTTTCCAGGAGACTCGTGTATCTCATTTAATGTCATTCTTGACGTTGCTGTAACATAGTGAGGACAGGTATTCTAATATTTGTATTGCTTAAAGACAGGGAAACTGAGGTTCACTGACAGGCCTTGTGACAGGCCTCAGATGGTTGGCCAAGAGGGAGTGGTAGGCTTCCCCGGCATCACCATGTACAGTGGTGCAGGCTGTGCACTGCCCAACTTGGGACGGGGTTGGGGGGGGCACCACCAGGGTGAACAGGGCACCCCCTGGCATCACACGGTGTGGCCACCTGGCTGAGCTCCTGTTACCAGCAGCTTCTTTGTCCTGCCTTCTGGTCCAGTGTGCCCCATCGAATGGATGCTTCTTTATTCCTCTGAAAACCTGAAGATTTCTTTTGGCATCCACTGTGTCGTTCTTATTTTCCTATTAAGAGGTACGGAGGTGATTTAGTTAATCCTCTATTATGTTTACAGCTTCTCGTTTCCAATACTGTTGTAAAGAAATACAAGTCTGTATCGTCTTATAAACACAAGCGGATCCTAGAACTCTCAAGTGGGGACACTGGGCCTGTTGGTTTTGGGGGTGATGGGAAGGATTGCTGGGGGCTGGAGAAGGCGTGTGTCTGTGGGGAGGAGGGAGCCGTGTGCCGACTGGGAGGCCTGGTGGCACGACGCGGACCACCAGCCACCCATCTGTGTGCAGGTTGGACAGACGGGGAAGGTTGCCTGGCCCAGCCCGTACCAGCCCTCTGGCCACCTGCTATATTTCTGGAACTTTGAGACCCGCACACTCACGTTGTCAGGCTCCCGGCCTCGCGCTGGAAGGATGTCCGAGGGCTGTCTGGGCGGACGTGCTCAGTGTCCTTGAGGGACAGGCCAGGAGACCGGTGGGGGACGCCCAGGGACAGGGGCGGGGCCGGCTGGGTGTTACTGTCATTGGACACTAACCACAGCTTCCTTGAGAAGGGAACCTGCTTCTTCCAGAAGTGAGCCGGTTACCCCCCAAGTCACCGATTCCAGAGGAATTCTTGTAACCAGCCCTGGGTGGGGAGACTGTGTGTGAGGCCCGCAGGGACGGCCGAGGGGGGAGGCTTAGGAGGCAAGTGGGGCTTGGCCTTGGGGCAGGAAGGGTGGTTGACTTTGGGGCCAGTAAAGGGCATGGGAGGGTCACTCCGGGACGAGGAGAGGCCCCTGGGCCCAGGAGTGACCGGGAGCACCCGGGGGTCCACGCTCCAGGAACATGGAGGGGTGAGCAGGAGCCCGCTCGGGAGGCGTGTGGCCGAGGCGTCCCAGGGCTTTGGCGTTGGCTCCTGTAGCGAAATACCACAAACGAGGTGGCTTAGGACAACACGGTAATGGAGGCCAGAAGGCCGCGGTCACCGTGTCCGCAGGGCCCAGCTCTGTCAGCGGGCACCAGGGGAGGGTCCCAGATCCCGGTGGTGCCAGGGAGCCCCTGTGCTCCTTGGTCTGCCGACGCAGCACTCTGTCTCTGCCTCCGTTGCCACGTGGCATCTCCCCGTGTGTCTGTCTCTGGGCCTGCCTTACAAGGTCACCAGTCACATCGGATCAGGGTCCCCCCTGCTGTGGCATGACCCTGCTTAGCTAATTACACCTGCAGACCATTCATTTCCAAATAAGAGCACGTTCGGAAGCTCTGGGAAGGACGTGAATTTCAGGGCTCCCCAGTACAGCCGCTTCGGGGGAACTAATTTAAAACAAGGCCGTCCACACGTGGCCTGGCCACGTCCTCATCCCCTGCGGACGGGAGGCATGTGCTGGCGCTGGTGAGCCCACCGCAGGCGCTTGAAGGGGACACACTCATGCCTTCTGTGCTTTCTGTTCTCACAGCCCAACATCGGCCGCCTGGGCCTGCCCCACGGGCCATCTGGAGAGAAGGTGGCCGTGGTGACCGTGGACGACTGTGACACGGCCGTGGCTGTGCGCTTTGGCGGCCTCGTCGGGAACTACAGCTGCGCTGCCCAGGGCACACAGAGCGGCTCCAAGAAGTGAGCATCCCCGGGGCTTGGCGGGGGAGGCCCAGGCAGTCACCCCCTGTGACGGCTGCTCCCAGCAGGGTCGTCCAGGGCGGGACCCTGAGGCAGGGCACCTGGGGCCCCAGCGGCCTGGCAGCCCCTGTCCAGGCTGGAGTCAGATTCCCTCCCCTTGTTTGGGGCACCTTCCCTCTGACACGTTAGAACCTTCTAGAATAAGTCCTCTCATCAGTTCTGCCGAAAGTAATGGCCAGACCAACCCCGAACGGCCTGGCTTGTGACGGCTGGCTTGATGACCCCAGAGACTGTGGGATCGCTGGCCTCGATCCACCAGGCACGGGTCCCTGCGGTCCGGTGTTGGGTCAGTAAACCTCCCTCTGGTACGTCCCGGAGGTTTTCTGTGGATCATCCTAACTCGGAAGCCCAGACAGCCCTAAGGCCAGTTTTGTGATGCCGGCCCCACCAGCCAGAGCTTTGCTCCTTCCTAATTGCGTTGTGGTGGAGTATTCAAGAAGCTTTCGACGTCCACAGTTGGAGGACCCGATCCGTGCCGGACATGGGAATGAAATATGCCTGTTTCCCCCCACCCCACCCAGCTGTGCCCATTGTACCGAGAAGAAAGCTGTCGCCTGGAGACATTAGACCCCTTGCCCAAGGCCACCCTGCTGCTCGTGTGGAACCAGGGGCTCTCGTGTGCTGTGACCTCTTTAAGGTCATCAGAGCCCGGGGGGGGAGGGGTAGTGCCACGATTTGGCATTGACTCGTGCCTGCTGGGCTGCGTGTTTGGCTTCGACTGGCCCAGGCAGTGGGTGGGACTCCCGTTTGCCCGGCTCTGATGCAGGTTTGAGGAGTCTGAGGCACAGAGAGACGTGAAAGCCAGTGGTGGCCCCAGAACCGGGACCTGCCGTGTGTGGTCTGACCTGTGGGCTGCCCGCCTCCCCTCCTCCCCGTTCAGTTACGGACGTTCAAGTGGATGGGTGTCCCTGGCGGCCACCGGGATGTTACAGCAGCTTCAGGGCCCCCGGCGCTGCCTCTCACCTTTGCCCCCGCAGGTCCCTGGATCTGACCGGCCCTCTGCTCCTGGGAGGCGTCCCCAACCTGCCCGAAGACTTCCCCGTGCACAACCGGCAGTTTGTGGGCTGCATGCGGAACCTGTCCGTGGACGGGAAGAACGTGGACATGGCCAGCTTCATTGCCAACAACGGCACCAGGGCAGGTGCGAATGACCGCCGGGGTGCACGGCCGGGCGTTGGTGGCCTCCTCCACGTCCTGGGCAGTGACTTCTTCCTAGAGCTGACCACACCTGTGTGCAGCTAGCGGTGGGCCGTTAGGAGGGGGGCCCGGGCTCACGGATGTGCTGCTCTTGGGGCCTGGGCGTTTGGGGTGCCTGTGACACCGCCGGGCTGGGCAGGGCACTCGGTCCCCCAGTCTTGAGCATGTCACCAGGTGACCCGACGTCCCTGGACACGGGCAGGGCTTCCTGTACCATTCCGGGTCTGACCATCGGACTGCCACCAGAGGGTCCCGGCCTGTCCGCCTCCCCTCGGGGCTGCTGCTCACCGGGCTGCTTTCACACCGCGGGGTTGGCGTCGGGGGCAGTGACCGGTCCCCCCGAGGCACGATCCCTTCACGTCTCCTGCTCTGAGACCGTACCGCGTGCCCTGTGTCCTCAGGTTGTGACGCCCAGAGGAACTTCTGTGATCAGATGTGGTGTCAGAACGGGGGCACGTGCGTGAGCAGGTGGAACACGTATGTGTGCGAGTGCCCGCTGCGGTTCGGCGGAAAGAACTGTGAGCAAGGTAAGGGCCTGGCATCCGTGCCCGCCCGACCTCGGGGCCTCGGACGCATTGCTGTCGGGTGACGGGGCTCACGCAGGCTGGCGCGGCCAGGGCCGCAGCCTCCGATGGCGTGTGTGTCCCCAGGCCTGGGTCTGGCGGGGAGAGAGAGTGGGGACGGGGGGGCTGCAGGAAGCTTGGGCTTCAGGGTGGGCCCGGCTGCCGGTGGGACACACGCCCACACCCAGAGTTCCTGTTATGGAGGCCGTGGGGCCCGGCCGGCCGTGGCTGTGCCAGAGTGAACAGATGCCAGCATTGGATTTGTAAGAGCAGGAAACAGACGGGCCGGGGCCCGTGAGGCTGTGGTCCCCCAGAGGCAGCCGCCAGCTGGCGTGCCCTGTGCTGTTGGCGGGTGTGCCCCACCTGGGGGATGTTCCTCTGTGTGACAGCCGGGGTCTGGAGGACACGGGGCAGCTGGCCGGCACCCCGTTTGTGCAAGGGTAACACACTGGATGGGGTGTTGATCCACCTCCGTGGTCCCCCCCAAACATCTGGAGCCCTCGGCTGGCCAGCGGCCTTCCCACCTCTGTGCCCACGACCAGGAAGAGAGAAACAGTGGCCCGCATGCCTGGGCATCGGAGCCCCCCCCCAGACACAGATGAGGACTGGCTAGGCCACAGGGTCGACGTGTTTCTCCGGGAACACGTGTGTGGTATTCACCACAGGCTCACGCCGTCCCACCGGGAGACCACCCTCCCCACAGCC